ATAATACTCAAGGTACAACATTTTGCTAGTACAAAAATAGGGGACATTTTTTAAATAAATAACTAGAGCGACCTCCAGAAGACCGCGCTGAGTTTGCACCATTTATTCATACAGCTGTACATAAAGCTAGCCATATGTTTGCTCGGCAGGTAACAAAAAAAAAAAAAAACACAAAAATTAAAATGATATTTTTAATTTTTGCCATTCAATGCTACATGGGAGAGCGTTCTACTAAACCGTCTGGGTACAACCAAATTTGGCCTAGGTCCACATTTACACGCATTTATGTACCATATATTTATTTATGTGTATGATTGTACTGATTGTACGAGCATGTAGGTATTTGCGCGTGTGCATTCATTTCGGAATATGTGATTATTTCTTTGAAATCGATCTGCTCGCAATGAGCTGTCCATTTAGCAATGATAGCATAGTCTAGAAATATTCCAACCCAAGCTCCACATTTATAGTTCATATTTATGTAACTATGTCATAATGAAAACTATTTTAATATGTGTAATTATAAAGGACTCCTTCGGATGTTAAAAATAGTCTAAGCATGTTGAAACGACGAAGTTGATATTCTTCGAGGAGACTCGTCATGAGAGTCAAAAGTGGAATGATTCGTAATGAACAAGTATGGGTGAAATGTGAAAATATTCGCTTAGCTATACTTATAAATGTGTACATGTCCGTAAGGATATGTAGAGTTATGTACAGGCCATATTTGAAATATTACCCTTGTTCACTTTGCAATTTTCTGCTCATTGCCAGAATATCATATCGGCGCCTGTGATGTATGATTACTATAATAGTTGGCGAGAATTTGCGATCGCTACGAAAGTAGAATTCATGCTGTCATTGCTTTGGTTTTTCAGAAAATTTAAATATAATATAATTTAAAAAAAAGATTTACATAGCATAATTGGCACTTAAACTTTCACTTGATGTTTGTTCCAGCTTTTGCTATGATGTATATTTTTCAGTCAGATATGCCTCTGAGTGGTTGAATGTTTTGGATGGAGTGACGGCCGTTATTAATAAGAATCCCTTTTCGACTCTTTCGAGGTATGAACCCATGGCCCACTGAAGTGTATTAACGCATGCTTGTGTATCACACTGTCTCACTAAGATCCATCGATATACTTCAGATCTATTCAAAATGTACAATCTCTACAAAGTCGGATACTATATTTCGCTCTTAATATATGTTAACTTCGACGACGATAATCGAGAACAGTTCAAAATCTAACTTCCCATATGATTATTGAACGCTTCGTCGAGAGACAGAATTTTTAAATTTTTAGTAGAACAAAACTTACATAAAAATGTGAGTTGTTCTATGAAAATTTTACGGAAAAAATCATTATTTATAGCGATACCACAAAAAATCTGGAACCTTATCGATCCAGTTATATAGAGCGGGGCGATAAGTTATACTTGATCCACCTTGCATTCTTAGTGGAACTATCTTCCCTACGACACATCTTTATTTGGTTAACAAGTATCCAATTTGAATTATGCAAGTTTTTACTGTAGAGATATTAAAAAAGTGCTTGAAATATTAACTCCATAAACTATTTTTGGGTTTTCCCACGTCCTCCGAAAGGAGGAAAGAGCGGACAGAGATAAGCTTTGGTAGCAAACATCTGTAGGCCCAGAAACAAGGCTCTGGGGTCAACGTATCCGATATAATATACTGATCTTAAGCCAATTCCAATACGGAGTAAAAATACTACATTGCCTTTTAATTAGCAGTCTGTTCAGTAGTTGGACTTACTCTTTTGCACTTGTTTTCTTGCTTTTAAAGACATTTTATAAGTAGTATTCGAGTCCTCTGCTCTGGGTTACTAGTCCTACTAGTCAAATAATATATCGTTGGTACCATATCGGTTTATCCGTTAGTAATTATATAAGTTTCATATGCTAAAGATTAGCATTTCTTTTTGGAGAAGTGGAAAATAATAATCCAAATGAATATCGTTATTCATATTTCATTTACGATGCCGAATACCACTACAGTAATCGCTTCGTGGTAATCGTCAAACGTAACATAATATACTACTCTGGTGCTCATCCGTTCAAGAACTGTCAACTCTGCAAAATTCTGCCGCTACAACAACAACAACGACAATTCTGGTGCTTATATGTCCGCACAACTTTTTAATTCACCAAACTTCAATAATTTTCTCTCCAAAGCAATTATTTTACCCATACGACTACTGTTCTCCAATAAACAACAGCATGTGATTTGTTTCACCCGTTAATGCGTAATAATTGACGTATATCAACGAATGCATGTGGTGTTTTGGAAAATTTTCGAGATTTAGAAAAGAAAATTGTGTTGCATTCCATACTTTGGGGTGAAACGAATTTCTAATATCTTCTTTAAATTGCCTCAAATCAGTTGAGACCACTTGTGAGAGTGCATTATCGCCTGCCAGTGTATTTGTTGTAGTGAGAGTGAATTAGGTAAATGTCAGTAATGAGTGCTTTCGTTACAGTTCTACTAATGATACAAAGAAATGCTGTCAAAATTTGAAACAAACATCATTTTTCATAATCACCAACGTTCAAGTAAAAACAACAACAACAACCGTCTCTGAGATCCATGCATTCTTTTCGCACTCGAATGGGCAACTAGTCGAAGCTGGGTAGTTGGGAAGATCGCTGTTGGCTGTTGGCTGTTGGCTTCGGGGCAGGGGCCGAGATTGCAAAGCGAACGCACTGACAGCTAACAGTTAGTTAGAAATAGACTTCACATTTGAAAGGCGAACAACGAACGAAAGAAAGTAAGTGAAGACGAAAGAACTGGGCGCATTATGGCTTTTCGCTACGTTTGATTAACCTTGAAGGCATAGCTGGAACGAGTCACAAAGCAGAGCAGAACGGAATGGAGCGAGTAATGTGCGTGGCCGAGTGTTGGCAGCGTCGGAGAATGCGGGGCAAACAACAAAAGTTGAACAATTTTAGTTAACTTACGAGTACTCATATGTTATTTGGGGGTTTTTCAGAGTCTGTTTGTAATTTTATTTTGCGTTTTTTGTTTTTGTAGTGTTTTCTTCATTTTTCTTTCGTTTCTGCTTTTACTTAGTTGTTTGTTTGTTTTTGTTTTTGCATTTGCTTTTTTCTCATCTGTGCTGCTAAACATTTCCCATGCGCTAGAAACACACACGCGTCTATGCACTCACCCATGCATACATACACACAAACACGCGAGCATTCGAGCGATTTGTGGAAATGTGACGGCTGATGGAATACTAGCGACTTTGCAGCAGGTTCCACCATTCAATTCTCGTTTCTTTCCGTATTTTTCATTGTCAGCTCTGTCTGCTCACCTTTTTAGTTCAAATCTTGGCATATAAGCAACAACAACAACCTATAATCATTCTTGCTACACACGCGTGTGTTTTAATTTATCATTTTCGGACAACCATTGCTTGTAAACAAGATATTAATTAATCTGGCTTATATTAGTTTCATTAGCAAACATTAATTAGGTACCTTCGAAAAGCCAACCACCTACTGTTTGGGTTTTTAGTTTGTAGATTTGAATTGAAAAAGATGGTTATGATGGACATGATGGTTTTGCTAAGCGTTGAATGGATCGACTTCGTACCACTTTGTGCGTGTGAGTTTGTCTGCGTAGCAAGTTGTTACTACGCTAAGTTGAGTTCACATTTGGATGTATAAATCCATTTTCCAAATTACATATTAACCTACTTAATTATACCGCTAAACAATACGAGCTTGTGGTATATTTAGCCTTTTGACACTAATCGCTACTGCATTCAACTGATGTAAGCTTTGTCAAAATTATTATTATTCAAATTATTAAAATTATTTTTAATTTGTTTTATTATTAACTATTTTTTAAATTTTTTTTTGGAATCATTGTTATTTTTTCAATTTATTTAATATTTTTAAATTAAATTTATTTTTTTTTCCTTTTTAATTATATTTTAAATTATTTTTAATTTAATTTTATTTATTATTTTTTTCCAAATATTTTAATGTATTATTTTTTCTAATTTATTACTTTTATTTTTAATATTATTTTTTATTTTTTTGTTATCTTCTTATGTTTTATTATATTTATATAAATAATAATCTTATCATCTGATATGAGCTTTACCAAAGTTATGATTATTTAAATTATTTAACTTGTTTTTTTCTATTATTTGTTATTATATATATTATTAATTAACATTTTTTTTGGTTTTTTTCTATTTAAACTTTTTTATAAAATTAATTTTTTTCTATTTTTAGTCATATTTTAAATTATTTTATTTTTAAGTTTAATTTTATATTGATTTTTTTAAATATTTTTTGTTTTTTTAATTTTCTTTATTTTTTGATTTTTTCTGCTCTTTTTAATTTGATTTTAAACCGATGTAAGCTTTGCTAAAATTATTATTATCTACATTATTTAACTTGTTTATTAGTCATTTTTTTAAATAATTTTTTGTTTTTCAATTTTTTTTTTACTTTTAATTATTTTTTATTTTTTTTTTTATATAATTTTAATTATTTTTTATTTTTTTTATATAATTTTAATTATTTTTTATTTTTTTATATAATTTTATTTTTTAATTTACCTTTTTCACCTTTCTCCTTTTATTAATTTCATTTTTTTTTCCAACATAAATTACATAATAATTTATTATTGTATTATGTATATGTACATAAGTTGTTAGAAACTCATTAACTAAAGCAATTTGAGTGACCTGCAGGCACTTATTTGCCATTAAGTTGTTAGTGAGGCTAAACTGTTTACCATTTGTGACGGTTCGACGTTGAAATGAATTAAAGCAGGCTGTAGAAGATCTACTAAACAAATATTAGATTATTTTATTTTAATAACGCACATTTTATTGGATTACATGAGGATTTTGGAGGATTTTGTCATTACAGATAATTAAAATGATTTAATCTTTTATACTAAAAATAAATAAATTAAAAGCTTAAACAAATATCTACTATTTAGTAAAGCATAGTCATCGTTTTTTCGAACTTTTTTTATTTAAAAAAATATAATATACAAGTTTTTTTTTATACATTTTTGTTGTGAGTTTCTATCCTCTTGGTTTAAAAAGGTATTATCGTTATTTCAAAACTAATTGGAATACAAAAAATTCTGAAGAGAAAATTGTTGTCTAAATGAAATCCGTAACATACCTCATAAAGTACAAACAAGTCTATGTCCAAACTTATCTTTGAAGTTTATAGCTTATTTTCAGGTACACAATCGCTATTCGATTACTTTCAATGCCAACAGTTTTATAAATTTCAGTTATATCTAGATCATCACAATTTAAAATATTGCTTCCGGGTCCCAAGAATAGGAACGAGAAGGAGCTTTTTGCCTCAGACCAAGCTTTGGTCAACTACTAACAACTGGGCAGTCTCTAGGTCCTTCTGACCAAGGGTAAATCGTAAGATTTCTTGCGAGCTCTTCGCTCAAAATAAAGTCCACCTTTAGTTGTTGGAGTTCTAATTGAACAGTGTTCAATCCGCATTCATTCGGTAAGGTTGAACATTTTACCGGATGGCAGTTTAATTTATTTTTTTAGTTATATCCATTTTTTATCAAAAAATACAACACTCTTCAGATTTCTTCTTCCTGATGAACAAAATTGTGAAATCGTATTCTAACTGGGTTTTTGGTTGGAAAAGTTTCATGAGGAACTGTGGAACCGTTAACCTTATTTTCTAAGGTCAATATCTTATAAATTTCTATATTCAAATTGTTTTGAATACAATTTTATGCCTCTTTAAGAGTCAGAGAGTAACATAGATAAGGACCGCTTCACCGGTTAGTTCATCTTCTTGTTAACATTAATTTAAAGGCTGTTGGCCTGACGATCGTTGAGTTTGTTCCTCGCGTTCGATTGGTGACAAAATAATCCTCCAAGCGCACTGTTTCGATTTTTAAGCCTTCGAAGCACATATGTTAATAGATTGACATACCTTTCTTGATTCCGTCTTGTAGCAAATTTCGGGTTCCCATTCACTTATTCAGTGCAGTCCGAGTTCTGCAAATAAACAAATCGTTTTCAGAGTTATATTTTTATACATTGAACAGGTTATATTAAGTTTGCCATGATGTTTATAACACCCAAAAGGAAACGTCGGAAACTCTATAAAGTATATACAAGTATATAAATGATCAAAGTGACGAGCTGAGGCGATTTGTCATTGTCTGTTTAATATGTCTGTTTAATATGTCTGTCTGTCTGTCTGTATATACACGAACTTATCTCTCTGTTTTTGAGTTATCGATCTGAATCTGAATCTGCTTTTCTCATCAAGAAGCTGTTCAGTTGTCGGAACCGCTCTTTATGGACCTGTATCCACACAACATTTAGGATACATTATTATTCAATACAACACTATAATCTTCGACCAAATTGTTCGAATTGGACTACTATAGCAAGATAAAGATCTTTTCATACCCTTTTATGCTGTAAAAAAATGCTTGTGATGGGTATTATTGCTTCGGTACAATCGAAGTGTACGTTTTTTCTTGAAACGATATTTAAGATATATTTTCACAATCAAATCAATATTACATAATTCAAAAAATCAAACCTAAACCCATTAATTCAGTTACTTCCTGGCTACATTTGGCGCATTATTATGGAGTTTTATGCACTTGCAGCATACCGGTCAAATCTCAAATATTACTACAGATTATTCTTACAACTATTGTCAACGCAGATTGGGTAATTATGCCCAGCATTGGTGCGATCTCGGTAATCTAATCAACCCCAACAGCGTGTACTGATTACTAAAATTTTATAGACCTAATAAGCATCACACTTGAATATATAGTTTGTATGAGTATATATGTATGTGTGATGAAATGCATGTAAATTCGGTTGTAGAGACGCGATCTCATTTGAAAAGATGGGCAATACTGCCATAATTTATAATCTCTCATTAGTATGAGTATTGGACGGCCAAGGCACAGCACACAATATCACCAGATCACAGGAACACCTAATCATTAGACGAAATATGAGCATTTTATTGCATCCCATACACGCTCATCAGGCATCATAAAAAAGACACTTTTTATATAAAGTGAACACAATTTGTGGTTGGTTAGTTGGCTAACTGGTTGCAATGCTGCACTGTGTCTAACTGTGTGTGTGTATCTGCATATGTGTGCGTGTGTGGTGGCTCAGCCGATTGTCACAGCAGTCGCACTCATTTATAAACGCCTCGAAAAACACTTTTGAGTAATCAGCTGCCGCATTGATGTGCAGCCAACGGAGAGAGGAGGAGACAACGTTGCCATCACTTTTATTAAGGTAGCAATAAAAAATGTATACAAATTCTGAGGACACATTACACCATACCAAAGAGTCGTAGCAGAGAGTAAAGGGCAAAATGAGCATAAGTGCTCTACAGCATTTGATAACTCTGTATGTGTGTGTGGTGTGGAGAAGTCTACTATTTGAAGAGACAAATTGTGCAGCGCTCTTCGCAAGTGGGTGGTTTTGTGGAGTTCAGAGTTGTATTTACTACCGTTTGTGTGTATGTAAAGGTATGCCGTGTTGCCGCATAATTTCTCGGAAGTTCATCGCATCTTATCTAGCAGCAGATACGTGATCAGTAAAGTTTGAACAATCTATTAATTATAAACTCGAATTAAAACTATTACAATGCTAACATTATAAAGTAATATTCCAAATATAAACTGAGATTTATTTCTCTTTAATTAATGGTACATGTGTATTTTGATGTGTTTACTGCAGTATACCCTCTTTATGGGACGTGATTTCGAAGTTTCACTTAAAGATAGGGGTTTAACAACGGTCATCTTTTAGTTAGTAACTCTAAAACGCCGCGTGTTTTCTTCATACACGGCAGAATTATTTATTGACATTTGTTAATTTATATAATTATTTGTTTTAATCAATTTTAAAATACAAAAGACAAATTCCAAAAACAACTATTATATTGTCAGTCGGTTTAGTTATATAATTTCTAACCTTTGGTGTTTTATAATTTTACAAAAGATACTATTAATAATTTGAGGATTTGCAGGTTTGACCTTGAAAAGTTGTATTATACATTTGGTTCTGATAAATATAATTAATATTCTTTCAACGCATATTGAATTTAATTGTGCTCTGAGTTTGTTGCTTATAAAGTAGTTTCCACATAGTTTTGGGTTTTGGGTAAAAAAAAAATTATTAAAAATCCGTTCGTTCGTTGAAATAGTAATTTTCTTCGTTGAAAAGGGGAATAATGTTTTCAAGTGACTAAAATAAATGCCATCTAGTCAGGTAGGGATCCAGATAATGGAGAGAATCCATAGAATCGTATGGATATAGCGCGTGAGCCCCAAAATTCCATTGATTAAAATGAGTTAGATTTTAAATTGTTTCCACATGTATTTATATTCATAGTCTTTCGTTGAAAAATGTTTCGCATACGTATGTATTGTAGTATAACCAAAGTATTTAAACTACAATGGCAAACCTTTAACCCAAACGAAATTGGCAAAATTCGCGATTAATTATTATTTTTATTGCATGTCTTCATCTTTCTTCTAATAAAATCAAAATATTTATCATACTATTTTCTTTATATTTTCAGCTTTTTATCCTTCAAAATAGCTGAAATTTATGTTATTACTTCAAACTGTACTAAGTTGTAAGTAAAACAATACTTTAATTTCCTTCTTATTGTGTATATCATACACAGTTATATGTATCTGCCAATCTTTTTAATTTGAAAAGTACTCCCAATACCACCTCTTACTTCAAAGCATTTTTTAATACAATGTTATATTAATCCAAGGGGGATTCTAATGAAACACCAAAATGTTATTTAAGTCATTCACGTCGCGCCATAAACTCGAGTATATGTTCTTGTGTTTATGAATAAATTGTTAAACGTTTTCAAATGAGTTTTAACGAAAGTCAAAGTTTATTTTTTTTTATTGTATGTCTAAATTGTGTTGAAAACTTGAAATATATGTCCTTAAACTCCGAAAAAGTGGAGCTTAAGGAGAATTAAAAAAAAAGGTTTAATACAATAAATTATATATTTATGAGTAATACTTAATATGGCTAATATACACGAGTTTTGGCGTAACAAATGTAGTATCTTCTATATAGTATTACTCTGAAGAAATTTCTGTAGTGATAGAGAGGTGTCTATGTAACGGCTCTGCATTAAATGTCGATGATCTTTTAGCCTAAGTGATTTACCTGAAAAGTAATGGAGTTTCTGAGTATCAGTACTTTATAGAATATGTTTTATTTACTTTATATTTCCGATTTCCCGCTTACTGGTGAGGGTGGAACATAATATTATGGTTCTGTACTGATTGTACATCATTCTATGTTGCTTGCGTACACGCAAGTCAAGCTGTAGACCATATACCTATGTACATACGTATATATAAAAGGTGTTTTGTTTTAGACATGTCGTTTTCAAGAAGATATAAAACGCATATAGTTAAATGTTATGACCAAGAATTTAGCTATAATAAAGTTAAAGATAAAGGTTTGCCGTTATGTTCTAAAAATGATTTCGTGCAAGTGACCGCCACGGCAGGCTTGCATAAATTCCAGCTAAGAGGCTCGATCACTTTTTGCAGCAATTTGAGTCGTATACAGCAATAATGCGCCGTTATATTATTTTAGATATTATATCGATGAACCCACAAGAACTTTATCAAACCACTACCTTCAGCTTCTATATTAAATCAAAGATTTAGGACATATGTAGATCATCAACTAGACTTAATGTACATAGGTATGTGTATAATTTTCATAGCAAACGAATAGAAACATGATTCACTACTCTCCAAGATATTTATATAAAAGTGTCAGAAATTAAATTCTGTTTCGTGTGCAAAGTTTTAGATTTCGATTTTAGTATTGTTCCTTGGCCAACTCGCCAAATATAATATAACAACTAAATTAGATTTTAAGAAAATCGGCTGCTTTAGGAATATACAATATGTATTATGCAATATTTACCATGATCTGATTAAATATTATGAAAGTGAAAGAGGAAAGATCTCTATAGCAATCTATGCCAACCACAAATGTGTAACTGTAATAATTTGGCGTTTCTTAACTTGCCGCTTGTATTTTCCTCATTGTTGAAATAAGTTTTTACTGCGTTAGAAATGCAAAACTATACACACATTCTTACAGTTAATCAGAAAAGTACGAGTATTTTATAAACTCACTAATTAACTGCACTTATTCCGACTTACTAAATAATGACAACTTGCAACTTAACTAACATACCTACTTCAGCATTTTAAATAACTCACCACGTGACTTACCAACATGCATACCAACTTACAAAGTAGATATGTACCATATAAAAGTATGCATATACAATATATTTATATATTAGTATGAGTGTGTGTTTACAAAGCAACTAAAACTGAGCACCGCGCTGCCCAACGCTGAAAGACAGGATTGTTGCAAGCAAACTCATATTTGCTTGTACAAAAACTTGTTTCAACGAACAATTTCAATCTGTGACAAATTATTATTGAATAAAAAACGCAGCTAGAAGCCGCCGCAGTACAACAAACACCAATACCTAAATCGTATTCACATACATACAACTAAGTATAAATTTTCACTCTTGTATGCGTGTGTGTGTGTTTCTGTTAGCCTTCTGTGAACTCTTACACCTGTTGGTGCTCTTTCTGAACCCGAGCTGGCAGCTCTTTCGGCTGCTCTTTGCCAGCAAACCGAAGCGTACGGCGAACGGCGCTGACACACAACGCAACTATAATAAATTGTTTGGACTGGCAATAAATAAATACAATTGAATTTGTTTTTTTTTTTGATATTTGTTTCTTTCGTTTAATTTTTATTTGTTTTTGGTTTTTGTTTTAGTGCTCGACTACACGACAACTCAATAAATTTTTATGTCTTTATTGTTATTGGCTATTGTTTTCATTCGGTTTTCCTAACAAAAATGTTATGATCATTTACCGCGTTTAAGGAGAGATGTGCTCGCCTTCATTTATTTTCTGTTTAACAAAAAGTGTTACACAATTTTTATTGAACTTTCTTGTACAATTTTAGTCAAACCACTTCATAATAAAGCTACTTTTGTTCGCGAAAAAAGAAAGCTTAGAGACTTTTGTTGTGCAAATTGTTGTTGTTATCTTTATTCGCTGTGTGTTGTGAGCATTTTCGTAATTATACAGGTATGCACATAAAAATATGTTTAGTGGATTTATCAAAAGCATCGCTTTTGCGACTCTCGCATTGTGAAATAAGAAGGAAATTGTCGAACTGATAGTTTTGTTTTTTTACCATCATATAATTTTTGAGTACTTAGGATATTGAGTTACCTATTATTAGCTATTGCGTGTAAAATGTGTACTTACCTTCAAAAGACAGTGCTGAGCACTAAATACTATCAAGATTGGAAGGCTTGTATTAAAACTGGCTTTTAGCACCAAAATTCTATCAAACTCTGTTAAAAATGAGCCCACAAATAATACTATTATTTAACTGTCGAAAATGTCAAGAAGTTTCCTCAAATATTTTCATTGTAAGTTTATCAAAATGGGTCTTAAATTTCTCATATTTGAAGAACGAATTTTGAAGTTGTGAGAAACTTTCGTCAGTCCCATTATAGAGGTAGTTGATATAAAACTTTTTCTAAAGCACAGAAAATAGACCATATTATGTTTGGTTGAAAATTAATGCATTTAATGTTTGAGGAGAATTTGGGCATACGGCCACAAAGACTACAACTTATCAGAATCCAATTTTCAACACTTTCCAATGTAGCCAGTTTTATCTCGTTATTAACGCACCGGATGTTGGTTTCCGAAAGTTTAATCGAACTTAGTTTATTAGCATAGATCAATATTTTAACGCACTAAAGGAGTCTGAAGGAGTTAAATCATATGTTATGTGTCTCACGATGAATCACTTGTCGCACCCACTTGTTGTTCATTTAAACTTTAAACGATTGGTATTGACGTGGGTCGGTTCCATCCTCAATTTTACGA